GTTGTGTATGTGTTGTCTATTTTGCGTATTGAACCTAGCTCAGTTGAGTTTGAGTTGCCTAGGATTTTCCTTATTCTGTTCGCTTGTGCACAAGACGTTATGTTCCCGCAGTAGCCTCGCCATGACGCGGTGCTCCTGAATCGTATGCGCTTTTTTAGCTTGGATTTGGCCGTCTTGTAGTTTTCCCAGTCCTCATCCGCGCATGTGTTCATTGCTCTATTGAAGCTTCTCCTTACCCTTCTTCGTAGCCTCTCAAGCTCAGGTCCCCACCAGTGTTGGCCTTGCCGCGGGGCAGGTTCACTCAGTGGGCATGCGGAGTTATAGCTGCTCAATATGTTTGATGTCAGTCCTGTAACCTGTGTTTCTATATGTGCTGTGTCCAGTAGTCTTCCCGGTGCTACCGGTTCCCCAAGGCTCTGGTGTAGTTTGTCAATGTATATTTTACGATCGGTTTTTCGGGGATTCCGTTTCGGTTGTTGTTCTTTGATGGTTGTTTCTAAGTTGAATCTTATCCATCTGTGGTCCGAGAAGGATGCTTCTTCGGACACGTGCCAGTCTTGGACAAGATTTACAGCTCCTTCGGACGCTAGGGTTAGGTCTATAATCGTCCTGCATCTTTTATTTACGAAGGTTGGTACTGTACCTTTGTTAAGGATTTGAAGATTAGTTGTGAATAAGTATTCTGTTAGGTTCTTACCTCTGTCATTAGCAAGTTCCATGCCCCACAACGGATGGTGGGCATTGGAGTCAGTGGCCACGACGATGTGCTGGCCGCTCTGCTCGCAGTATTTGATTAGCCGTTCCATTTCCTGCGGTGGTGGTACATCAGTCTCTGCCATATAGACAGAGGCGAGCACCACTTCAGGCAGGCCCGTGGCCGTGTCAGCTAAAAGCTTGACGGCACACAGGTCTCTGGAACAGAATTCTGTTAGTGGTTGTACATGTAAATTATTAGAATAATATATGCAAGTTCGTGGTTTTTCTGAGATGGTAGTTGATATCAGCTTACCTCTCATTTGTGAGAGTCCATTTATTTGGCCGCGGGCGCTGATCCACGGTTCCTGGATCAGTGCCACGGCTGTGTTGTTTGCCTCCAACCATTTCCGGAGTTGAACCGTTGCGGCCTGGCTGTGGTGGAGGTTGCATTGGATGGTTAGTAATTTACTGAGCGAGGGGGTAACCGCCATCAGTGGACAGCAGGTCCTCGTCTTCGTCCTCGCTCAGTCGGATGTCTCCCATCCCCGACACGCACTCGTCCGCAGAGACGGGGGTCAGGGAGGGCTCCTTCCCTTCTCCGGTGATGCCAGAGGAGGTAGAGGGCTCCGGGGAGACATCCATTGGTGGTTTAATGATGTTCGCCTTCTCAGGCGGCGTATCCGTGTACAGGCCCCTTTTGGATCTGAACCTGAGGTAGACCGTGCCTAACTGGAAAGTGAAGCGCCGGTCATGCCCCAGGACAGCCGGGACCAGTTCTTCGGGGAGGCTCACCACCACGAAGGTATGTCCACTTTGCTTCTGCAGCTTGTGGACAAACCAGCGGTGAACCTCCGCCCATGGATTTTGCCACTTGAGGATGCGGCCGATTCGGCGTGCATCCTCCCAGTGGCCAGGAATCAACAGTCCGCAGACTGCCCTCCGGGGAGCCTCCACCCCATTTTTCAATGAGAGGGGCTCCCCGGACGGCAGCCTGATGGTGCTAATGGCATCTTCA